TTATCTAAATTAATATATTTATTTTCTAATCACATGACCGAGTTTATTTTTAATCTACAACTTATACATAATAAATTCATAGTCTAAGCATATGTTTAGGTATTTTTCTAACTCTAAACAAAACAAATGTAAAGTCAATGATAGCGACACTCACGCAACCAAACATTAAATACATGAATATATTAGGATTCGTCTCGATATTATCGCCGATAACATAGGGTAGGAACAGATACAGGGAATTGTAGCAAGCTATAAATATAGTACCCACGGCATCAGTCATCTCAAAGTACTGATTCACAAACCCATACAGAGCCACATATATACACGAATAGCCATAGCATATAATGGCGGCACTAGCCCATAAAACACCTAGCACATCCTGCCCAAAATACTGTATAATAACCCCGACCCATATGATGCACGTGTGCACGTATATTAGGTACTGGGTCCTGACTTTTAACGCAATGAATACGCATAAAAATCTACCCCCGGTTAAGGCAATAGCCATAGTGCTGGCTATGTCTGCGGCTGTCTGAGCGGACAGCCTAAGGGGTATGAACTGGAAAAATGACGGACCAAAGTCCATGTACATGTTCTCGGTCATAAAGCCAGTGGCGAAAAATATGGATACGCATACGATCAGGGTCTTTTTTGGTATTATACGTCGCTGCTCGTCGAGGCGAGCCTTGTCGGCATCCGTGACCGCCCGGTCCTCCGCTAGTTTCGAGAGTGACGTGTATTTGTAGGGTTTAATGAAAAATAAGAGCACCAGTAGTACAGGACCTAAATATGAGAAATAACTTGTTTATTATTATGGAGTTATATTTTGAAAATATTTTAATAAACGTTAGATAGGTTTAATTTTTAAATAACTAATAAAAATATTAATAAACAATTAAACTTTAAATCCAACTTAAATCAACTCATACTTTTTAATTTAACAAATCATTTGTTTGTTTTAGTGTCTTTTATTTACAGTGTATATTATAAAATATTTTTAATTATACTAGTAACTACACACACAATAGTGAATTTTAATATAAATTAATTTAAATTTATAACACTATGAAGTAGAGTGATACAGTATTCAGTTAATCCCTTCTAAAATAATTATTTGTTATAAAATACAATTTGAAAAACTTATTTATTAATTAAATGTATTAAATTAAAGGTAAGTCACTCACCGATCACTTCAATCAATCCGGTTATAAGGAACGGTGTCTTAAGCTTATGGGACACTTCATTGGATAACGCACTCCAGTCTACGGTACTATTGATCGCTTCCGACCCTGAGTTATCACCGGCTGATAGACCCGACAAAAATGGCTTCACCACCAAAGGGCCTATGATTGTGCCGATCCCATAGATGGCCTGCGAGAACAGTAGTACGGAAGGGCTGTTATGTTGCCACATCTCCATAAGCCATACATTGTTCGAGTTATTCCAGGCGCCTACACCAAATCCGTATAAAAACAAGCATATGTATAACTGATACAGTTCCCGCGAGTACGGTAGAAATATAGTGCCCAGGGACATTAACATGATTACCGCGGCAAGTACCAATTGCCTGGGTAGCCATTTATAAAGTGTGCCACCTAGGGTTAAAAATTATTTAGTGTATTATTGTTTGTAAGTTTAATTTTGTTTTTGATTACAAAGTGAGCCACAAATGCCCCCAAAGGCCTGGCATATGGGTATGAGTCCGATATAAGTCATGTTTGTCTGTAACATCGCGCAAAAGTCCACATATGATGGGGCAAAACCAGACACACTCACACCCTGGTCACATCAAATATAATAGAGCATTTTATATACTAGCATATAATTTTAAAATTAACTCATCATGCTAAACTAGTGTGTCATACAAAATCGTGATGAATTAATAACATGATCGATGTGTATAGCAATCGCATGCGGAAACTCATTTGCGGCTCTGGCTCCAGTTCCTTATCACATGTCTGTGTTGTCTGTCCACTAGGTTTTCCATTCAGTTCTTTATTATTCTCTATTTTGTGAAAATAATTTTTTCATTAATTTATCTAGGTAATAAAATAATAACCAATTTACTATAACCTTTGACACTTACTTAGTGAATGACCCCCAATACTCTTGCGCTTTATATCCAACGCCAGTGCCATTGAATGACCCGATATTGCACTCAATCGACGGCTACTTTGCAAATGTTTGGCCACATATTGAGAGCTACGTCGCCGGGCATAGGAGGGGTCCCCACCTCCACCCCCACCGCCTGTTACGGCCCGATTTGGATCTATATTAATGGTTGAGACATTTGATTGCTTGCCATTCGTGGCACCGGTATTACTCTCATTGACTATATTATGAGTTAAAGTTATTTTATTCACCATTATTTGAAAAATATTATTTAATTAACTTAATGTAATTTAAAATTAGTTTAATTAATTTTCTACAGTTTAAAAGCATAAAGTTATTTTTAAAAATTTTTATAAAGTTTAAAAGTATTAGTTTATAAGTGTATTTAGTTTAAGTATTATTTATAATAAAAGTTTTATTTTTAGTATATTATTAGGATGATAATATTTAATGCTATAGTATGTGGTAAATTATTAGTGACTTATTTCATTTCACGTAATATTTTTGACAATGATTGTAATTATTTTTAAAATAAAAGCACGAATTTAAAGAAAAATAAAATAAGTTTTTTTTGTGTAAAAATGTTATATAAGTTATAAAACAGATAAAAGTTTAAACTATTAATTCTTAAATAAGACCCAATAATTATTTTTTAATATCATCTATTTTTATTTTTTGAATTAAAAATCATATAATAATCAATTTATATAAATATGTAATAAATATATTAAACTTGAAATTATTT